TTTTGTTTTAAAAGCTAAAACAAAAACAATATTTTAATTTATATAATTATATATAATAATTAAATATATTATATAATATATATTATAAATAATTACAAATATATAATAGAATACTATTAATAAGATTTAATATAAATTTCATATTTAAAGAAATTTGATTTAATACAAAATATATACATTTATAAGAATATGATGCCAAAAATATAAATTTACATCATTTTAAAATTAAAATTTCTAAACATTTTTTATTATGAAACAAATAATATAGAAAAAATTTTTAAAAATTCAGTTTATGAATATATTTAAATTATTAATGAATCAACAATCACTGTAAATCATTATTAAGCAATTTAATATTGATTTAAATAATTACTTATAAATTTCGATAAATCGATAAATTCGGAATTACAGATAATTAGTTCATGAAACTTGAATTTTAAGTCGACCATTAATTTATTTAAAAAAATACATATTTCTTATCTTTATTTTATATTTGATTTCTGTTTATATTAATATAAAAAAAGAAATGAAAATAAATAAAATCTGTTAATCGATTATTTTTAATTTAATCAAAATTTGATAAAAAAAATGTATCAAATGTTTTAAAAAATAATATATTTATAAATATTATAAATAATATTTTGATATCATGCATGTATAAGCAATGTTATATAAGTAATATATATTATTCAAAAATACATAAGAGAATTTATACATATATGTAATAATATTTAGAAAATTATTACTACAAAAAATTAATAATTTTTCATCTGACAATAAAATTTAATTCAATTTAGATTGAAGTTTTTAAACTTCATTTCATTGATAATATTATACTATTTATATTGAAAAGCACACTAAACATATTAATTGTCTAATGAACAATTAAAATTATTTTTGTACAATATGTTAACAATCTTTATGATCATAATTAAAATAATTAAGAATTTTAATTGAAAAAAATATTATATATTTTAAATTTTATGTTTATTATATGTTTTAAACGCATGATTAAACTATCTATACTATACTATAAATATTTTATAAGAAAATATTATATATAATAACAAATCATAACAACATACAGCACCTTTAAATCGTAATCAAAAGAATAAATTATATATTTAAGAAGAAAATTAATATATTTCATGCTCACTCTAATATGGTTTCTCGTGTAATTCAAGGATGTACAGTCATATAAACACAAAAAATACAACAGAAAAAAAAACGTAATAGTTGGCACAAAGTATAAAATTTGACACAGAAACTTGACTCTTCACTGTTCAACTTTCAACTAAACTATGTTAAATTTTTATGCATTGATTAAACTATATACGTGATATATTACTTACGTATGGCGACCTCTATAATGATAAATAACGGTAAAAACGATCAATCGATAAAGCAGGAATTCCAAAAATCTTATTTATATTAAATAATTATTAACATGTAAAAATTTTTTACTTGTATTATTTTGTATTATTTATTTTACAAATTATATAAAATCTTGTTTGTTTTTGTAAAATGCATATTTTTTTTTACATGAAAATATAAAATTTAATATTTATAAATATTTTGTATATTTTAAAATTATAAATTCAAAAATATTTAATATTTTATGTAATACGTCATAATATATATTTATATTTTTAACAATGATTATATATATATTGAAATTTATTTATATATAATGTTTGTTTTATATTATGTTTTATAAAAAATAAAATTTCTACATGCAATATAATTAAAATTATAAATATATATCAAATATCTATTTATTAAATATTAAAATTAATTTAAATTTATTAATAATAAAAGTTTATATAATTATAATTTAAATTATAGTTATATGTTAAATGTGAATATTTATCTTTAAAATGAATTTTTATTTTTAAAAGTCAAGAATATTCCTTACATAGTGATTACAAGAGATTTATAAATGTGTTTGTTATTCCATATAAAATGGTGGAGCCGGATTAACTCTCATTTTACATCGTTGCATACGTAGTTGATCACTCGATATTTAAACGTTCCAAAAATGACTACAAGGTTTTGTGGAATCAAATTAGGACCTTCAATAGAAGTTTTTGCAATTCATAAAGCTTTTTTAGAAGATACTCACGAAAAAAAAGTGAATTTATCTATAGGAGGTATGTTGCAAAATTTTTAATTTAATATTTTATATTTAAAAAAACAAATATATATAAATAAATTCTTTTATAATTTCTTTTTTATAATTTAAAAAATGATTTTTTAAAATATAAAAGCTTGAAATTTTTTAAAATTATCTTATTTGTCATTTGATATTACTAATAAATCTGTTCTTGAATGACCTCCAGCAATATCTAGTGATTACATAACACATATCATATATTGTTATAGAATATAATTACTTTTTAAATATTAAATAATGTATAAGATTATTAAGATTATTATATAATTCAAATATTTTCTGAAATTTATAATAAAATTATTTATTTATAGCTTATCGCACAAGTGAAGGAAAACCATGGGTATTACCAGTTATACGGAAAGTAGAAAAATCATTAGCTGCAGATGATTTACAAAATCATGAATATCTCCCTGTTTTGGGATTAGATGCTTTTTCTCAAGCAGCAACAAGACTTTTGTTGGGTACAGATTCTCCTATTATTGCACAAGGTCATGCTTTTGGCATTCAAACATTATCTGGCACTGGTGCATTGCGTGTTGCAGCTGAATTTTTAAATCGTATTTTACACTATGATGTTGTTTATTATAGCAAACCTACTTGGGGCAAGTATTAATAACTTTTAAATGAAATGATGAAAAAGATATTTATTTACATAATTTTTAATATAATATTTTTAATTTTTAATATTTATTAATAGAAAATCACAAACTTGTGTTTTTAAATGGAGGATTTAAAAGAGCTTGTGAATATAGATATTGGAATCCAGAAACCTGTTCTCTTCATATAGAAGGAATGCTTAAAGATCTTAGAGATGCTCCAAAGAATGCTGTAATTATTTTCCATACATGTGCACATAATCCTACTGGATGTGATCCAACTCCTGAACAATGGGAGAAAATAGCAGATGTAGTGGAAGAAAATTTTCTTTTTCCAGTTTTTGATACTGCTTATCAAGTATTATTATAGATAATATATATTGCTATCTATTTTTAAAATAATTTTAACAGTAATATAAAAGATATAATTTTTAGGGTTTTGCAAGTGGTAATATAGATAAAGATGCTTATGTAGTAAGAAGATTTGCTGAACGTGGAATAGAATTTATGTGTACTCAAAGCTTTTCTAAAAATTTTGGTTTATATAATGAAAGAGTTGGAAATTTGATAGTTGTTATGTCTGATACAAAAGAATTAGCTCAAGTTAAATCACAGTTAACTTTGATTGTCCGAGGAATGTATAGTAATCCACCAAATCATGGAGCAAGATTAGTTGCAACTGTTTTACAGAATCCAGATCTTTTCAAGCAATGGTATAATATAAAAAACAAAATAATAAAATTATACACTAAATATAAATATTTTCTAAAAATATCAAAATATTTCAGGAAAAGTCATATGATTACAATGTCTACTAGAATAAAAGAAATGCGAGTATGTTTATATGAAAAATTGGTTCAAAAAGGAACTCCAGGTGTTTGGGATCATATTACTAAACAAATAGGAATGTTTTGTTATACAGGTCTAACTGGTTAGTATTTAAGGAAACTATTTTATTATATTTAATAATATATTATTTTATTTAAATCATTATTTCAGAAAGACAAGTTGAATGTTTAATCAATAATTACCACATCTATATGTTACGAAGTGGTAGAATAAATATATGTGGACTTAATGAAAACAATGTAGATTATGTAGCAAATGCGATTTATGAAACCATTCTACTATATCCACAAAATAAGCAAAGTTGTACATGTTAAAAGATGAATCAGATTTCATATGGTAATAACTATAAATTATCACTAAAATTTTAGTATTGAGAAATTGTTAAAGTATAAGAATATTTTATATGCATTGAAGTTATGTTATAATCATAAAAATTAATATTATATAGCTATTTTTGTTTTAGTTAAAATTCTCTTCAATTTAATTTATTGGGATATTTATCTAAGATATTTGTTTCTTTTTTAAAAAATTCTTAATATTTCTTAAAAAAAATTTCAAATTAACGTAAATTTTTTATTTCATACATAACTTAAAAAATTTTGTTAAAAATCGCCTTGTCTCTAAAAGTACAAAACATCAACAAAGTATTATGAAAATGCCAAATTTTAATACATATATAATCGCTTATTATTAAAGTGATTTTTATTAAGCTTAATAGTTTGTAGGAAAATATTCAGAAATAATAAAAATTCATTGTGATATAAATGATTTTTTAATGTTTGTCAAAGAAAATTAATCATATATAAACTAATGTTTTATATCGTTAATAAGCTTTACTTCAAAATAATAATATTCTATAACTGATATAAACAAAAATTTTCAAAAGGCTCTATTTTTCTATTATTTAGAAAATTGTTAAATCATATACATTATATAAAGTTTGAAATTATCATATATCACATGTTCTTGTAAATAATTTCAGATATATATATATATATATA